TTTTAATTTTTCATAAAAGTAAATCAGAAGGGAATTTATAGTAAATAAGCAGGCAAATTTACCTGTGAACCTCTACAGTTTAAGGGATAGACCAGCTTCTTAAACACAAGTTTTAAACTTAATTAGTTTTATGTATAATGTAATCACTTGCATAACTATATAAGTTTACCATATTCTAAAAATTCGTGATTTTTAATATATATAGTTTATGCATATCCTATAAAATTTATTCCTAAAATTAAACTGGTAAATTCTGCAGTAAATTAATATTGCAATCAGTATTTAGTTAATGCTGAACTAGGATCTATTGCAATCTATAATAGGGATTTATGCATTATAGTATAAGTCAGGAATACCAATCCTTCACATTTCTTTTTTAAAAAGAAAATTCTCTTAAAGGATTGTAAAACTCTTAAAAAATTGCAAAAGTTATAAATACTTTTTGAGATTTGCAATAAGGTTATAAATTCTCTAAGAATTTTACATATATTTTGCAAATTCTCTTTGAAATTCATATATAATTAAACTGAAATTTCAGGTTAATCTGAAAATTTTGATTTAGTTCAGATTTTTACTAATTTATAGTTTAGTTTAGATTGACTTCTAATCTAAATTAAACTGAACTGTAAATAAAATATATGTATTTAAAGTTATATTATTATATTATATTAGATGATAAAAATAATAAAGATAAAAAAAAAAAAATTAAATAAAAATAAGGTAAAAGATCTAAAAAATACTAAATCTTTTTTTATTATTAATACATTTATATTATTAATTATTTATTTACTCTTTATTTTAGTTATTATATTAATAGTTTTTATATAAATAAGATAACTGTAAAATATAAAAATTCAACTTAGATAAGATAAATAAATACTAAACATATTATATATAAATAAATATAATTATACCTAATTCTTTTATTTAATAAAATTCTAATTGCTTATTTTAAATTATATATATATATTAAAACTAACTTTTGTTTATATAACTTTTCAAAGCTTTTTTTAAACTATTAATTTATGTTAATCTTATATTAATTTTAGTTAATAGTATTGTAAGATAACATTAAAATTATAACTTATTTTATAATTAAAATTCTATAACTAAAAGTATTTTTAATAAGAATTTTATTATAGTAATAAAAAATAAATTTAATTTAATCATTATTTAAAATATTTGAAATTATATTTTTTAAATTTAAATATCAATTAAAACCTTTTATATAAAGATTAACTAAATAAGTAAAAATGAATTAAATACATTAAAAAATTTAATTTAAAGGGTTTTTTACTAAATATTTTAATAATTTTAACTTATTTTATGATTATAAACTTTTTTTTATAATTAATTATTATAAATATGAAAATTTTTGAATCTTTATTAATCTTATTGTTTAATAATTTACTAATAAAAATTTGAAAGTAATATAAAAATTAAGTAATATAAAAAATTTTATTATAATATATTGAAATATAAATTATTTTTTAATATATTTTTTGTCTAAATTTAAATATTATAAAAATCTTAATTTATTTTTCTTAAATAATATCCAATTTTAATAATTTTAATGAATATAATTTTATTTGATGATTTGATTTTTATTTATTATATAACATAAAAATAAATATTGTTTAATTTAACAAAATAAAACATTAAATTTATGTAAAAATTGAATTAATGAATATGAATTTTTCAATAAGACATTAAAGTTAATTGATTATTTTAGTTTTTTGACATAAATATAAAATACTAAGTAAAAACTATGTATAGAATTTTAGATCATGTTTGTACTATGTCCTCCTTTTTTGGTTTTTTTACTTTATCTTCTTTATTACTTTCAAGTTCTCTTTCTACTAATACACCTAAACCTTCTCCTTCTGTACATAGCTCGGAAATATGATCCAAAAATACCAATCCATCACCATCTACATCCAGTTTTTTCACAATTTTTTTGATTCTCTCATTATCACCAGGTGTATGTTTAATAACTCTTAATGCTTCTTCCAAATCATGAACACTTATTTGTCCACTTTCATTGGCTTGAATAATATTTAATTTTGACCCAACTTCACTATCATACTGCACCAATTCTTTATCAATCTTTTGAATCATTTTTTCTAACCGTTCTCCAAGACGATGCTGAACTTTAGATTCTGTATGCTTTCCGGTTTCTTTTAACTCTTGAATATCCTAAATTAAAAATAATAAGTATTGAAGTTCTTTAAATATAAATAATCTAATATAAACAAACCTCTTTATATTCTTCGCGATCGACCTTAATTTCATTTAATGCTTCCCTTTCTTCCAGCACTGCCGATTTCGAAGAAAGAATCGAAAGTGCAGCACGAAGTTCTTGAAGTTGCTCTTCTGTCATGCGTACATCTTCCTCAGGAACCTAATAAAGTTTTTTAATAAGAATTTTACAGATATTCAACAGTTATTCACTAAATAATTATAAATTACTTGAACGTCACTAAGTAATTGTTCAGCAAGGGCAGCTTCCTTGGCAGCTTCTTCTGCCTCTTTTTGAGCTCGTCTTGCAGCTTCCTCTTTCTATGATACAAGTTGAAAATATATTAATAGGATTGACAATAGTATCATATAAACAAATCCAATAATAAAATATAAAACCTCTTCTTGAGCCTTTTCATCAGCAATCAACTCTTCTTGCTCCTCAATAACTTCAAGTTTTTGCTTGTATGTAGCTGCACCATCCGCTTCTGAAACTTGCAATTCAGCTTCATTGACCTATTAAAAAAATATATCAAGGTAAATCTCTAGTATTTCTTAGAAAAGTAGAAAAAATTGGTCATATATTTACAAGATTGTCTGGCAAGCTATTCAAGGTTGCTTGAAGAGCTTCAGCTTGGTTTGCCAATTCATTTCGATCTGCAAAACTAAAAGCACGAGATAAGATTAATAAAGTAGAAGGTACTTTATGATTTAAATGAAGATCCAGCCATTGACTCAATTCACTGCGTAAACGTGCTGGTGAAACTCCAATCGTCCTAATTCCACGCGACTGGCACGCATGTTGTAGTTCTGGGATGGTCAATGATTCGACCCCTTCAGCCATTATCATCTACAAAATCACGATAATAATTAATAATAAAAGTTTTCGTAATTCTTTAGATGAAAAAAAAAATTTAATTTATAACAAGTACCTTATCATCTTCCTTAATACTCCTCATTCGATTTCTAATCTGGTACCTCAAGAAATTATCTGTGCCAAAAGCATTTAGATTCATATAACGGCACATGCTAACCAATTGAGGGCGTGATAAATTATCCAACGTTAATTCATCTTCGAAAATATTGGCTATACGAAGCAGATCTTCGGTACTAGCTTGCTCTCCAGTAGAACGAACCTAAATCGGGGAGAAAATTTTTAATGATTGTCGAAATGATTGAATTAAAAATATAAAAATTAATTACCTTTCGGAAAAATTCTGTAAATTCTTTCGTGGCCTCAGCGCTTTTCGATCCAGTGGTTCCTGTTTCAGCAATCGTTTCTTGTAAAAATTTAGCCATCTCTAAGCGAACCTTTAGCAATTTTCTCTTTTTTTCCTCCTATGATACCATAGATTTAGATTATTAAAATCGATAAAAATTAAATATAATTAAGTAATTGAGAAATAAATGATGCCTTTGAAAATTTATCCTCAAAAGTACTAGGTAACATATTAGGAAACAATTTTAATGCTATTGGTAATAAAAATTCCATAAAAGGGACAGCTATGAAAACTAAGAATGGGACAAGTCGAACCAAGTCTTGTGTAGTACGTCTAAGCTAAATTTGTATAGAAATAGATTAGCATCAAATATAATGTCGAATTTTCAAAGTTATTCATACCTGTCTTTGTTCTCGACGCGTGAACTTTTGTCCCTTTAATAATTTATACAAGAGCTTGGTTGAAATCTTAATTTCTAATCCTAACAGTTTTGTACCGTGCCAATAATGAATGAATTCATCTTTGATACGTGTAATTAAGGCTTTTTTTTTATATATGGTAGCGGTAGAAGTATTTTCTTTATTTATACTTGACTCCTCTTTAGCAACTTTGTGTTTTATATGTTCATTCTCTATTGTGCCCTTGACCGATTCTTTTGAAACTTGAGCATTTCTAAGTAATCGCAATTCGTTTGGTAATGCGAAAGGACTTTTATTTGAAAAGTGTAATTTTTGATGTGACGTAAGTTGTTGAGAATTTTGTAGAGATTTTAAGTAAAAAATCTTAGGTTGAGACCAAAAAGATCGTGTAGTGGAAAAAGGGTTCAAATTGGTAAGCCTATTTTGCACTTGCAGTTATTTTTTTTTTTTTGACACGCATAATATTAGAAGGAAAATTCGTTTTTATAGATTTAAAAAAGAAGAGGCGAGAACAGGTTATATAATAAAAACAACATGTACGATAGGAACATGACTTTCATATCCTTACCGACTATTGTTCGCTGAAGTCTCCTGCTAATAAGCATTATTGAAGGAGTATATGTATATGAAAAACTCCTTGCGAAAATTTTTGCAGAATCCATATTAATATTAAATTAAGATGATGAACTTCAAAATAGATGTTTGATCAAATCAATACTCTTTATATAGTATATCGTAACACAAATTATTTTGTCACGTGATAAAATAAAAAACCTTTTATTTTAGTACGTCAATTCGTTTTAATAATTATATTTTAATTGATGCATTTCTAACAAAAGATTGCGCGGGATTAAATTCATTAAAATATAAATAATTGTTGTCTATAAGATATATAAAAAGCTTTATCATAATGAAGGGATTTATTAATTGGTATTTTTAATGTCAGGATTTTCAACTCGATCAGTTGTATGGTGCCGGAAGTCTATACTCGACAATCACGTGACTTTGTTTCAATATTCGACGCCGATCACAAATCACGTGATT